TTCATCTCACAAACTAGAACCCAAATCTAAACACTGTGTCTTTCTTGGTTACTCATTATCCCAAAGTGCCTATCTCTGTTTTGAACCATCAACTTCTAAAACATATGTCTCTCGCCATGTTCAGTTTGTAGAATCCGTATTTCCTTACACCTCTCTCAACACTCAGCTACCCGGTCCCAACTCCACCACCACAGAAACATGGCTTCCACCAGTTCTTATAGTCTCCATACCTCTTCAAGAACAGCCGCATTCTCACACTCCAGAAGTACAAGCTCCAGACTTGCCTCCTGCTGCAGATCTCTCTTCAACATCACCATCCTCATCCCCTCAAGCAGACTCTTCACCACAGCCTTCCCCTGCCTCACAACCAGCCACTACACCACCCCCTCATCATCCCATGATTACCTGAGCCAAAAACCATATCACAAAACCAATTCAAAAACTAAACCTTCACACTCACTTAGCCCCTTCCCCTAGCCCAGAACCATCATCCATTACTCAGGCTCTAAAAGACCCAAATTGGCGAAAGGCAATGTCAGAAGAGTATGATGCTCTTGTTCACAATGGCACATGGGAACTTGTCTCTCCCACTGGTATCACCAACCTTGTAAGCTGTAAATGGATATTTCATATCAAAAGGAATTCTGATGGTTCTATTGACAGGTTTAAAGCTCGCCTTATGGCCAAAGGCTTTCATCAACGACTAGGAGTGGATTATCTTGAAACATTCAGTCCATTCATCAAGCCAACTACTGTCCGACTGGTGCTTAGTCTTGCTGTAAGCAATGGTTGGTCCCTACGCCAATTAGATGTCAACAACGCCTTCCTTCAAGGCCATTTATCAGAAACAGTATACATGGCCCAGCCCCCTAGTTTCATTGACTCTGATAATCCCACACGTGTGTAAACTCCACAAAGCTATTTACGGTCTTAAACAAGCTCCTCGGGCATGGTATCATGAGTTGCGCCAATTCCTTGTTGATTACGGGTTTAAAAACTCCCATTCTGACACCTCCTTGTTTGTTCTCAAGATCGGCACCAAACTGTTCTACCTGCTGGTCTATGTTGATGATATTATACTCACCGGAAACAATAACGACCTTGTCTCCCAAGTTGTTGCTTGTCTAGCACAACAATTTTCTCTCAAGGATCTGGGTCCTCTCTCCTATTTCCTTGGTGTTGAAGTTGTTCCTCATCAGCAAGGTATCCTCCTTTCCCAACGGAGATATATACAGGATCTACTTACTCGAACACATATGCAAGAGGCTAAACCAGTACTTACTCAAGTTATCATCTGGATCGCCTCTCTCTGATCCCACTGAATATAGAACTGTAGTGGGCAGCCTTCAATACTTGTCACTCACTCGTCTAGAAATTTCATTTGCTGTTAACAAAATGTCTCAGTTCATGCATCAACCAACAGATGAACAATGGACTCTGGTTAAAAGAATTTTGCGTTACCTCAGTGGTACCTTAAATGATGGCCTTCTTCTTTATCGCAACTCACCGCTATCCCTTCATGCTTTCTCAGACTCGATTCATGCCTTTTCCGATGCTGACTGGGCAGGTAACAAAGATGACTACTCTTCAACTGGTGCTTAACTTGTTTACCTTGGTAGCAATCTCATTTCCTGGAGCTCTAAGAAGCAGAAAATTGTGGCTCATTCTTCTACTGAGGCTGAATATCACTCAGTTGCTGCTACTGCTGCTGAACTCTGTTGGGTTCGCTCTTTACTCTCTGAACTTTGCATCAATCTGGTCTACCTCCCAGTCGTCTACTGTGACAATGTAGGTGCAACACAGTTAAGTTCAAATCCAGTCTTCCATTCTCGAATGAAGCATGTGGCAGTTGATTATCACTTCCTTCGTGATCAAGTTCAATCTGGTGCCCTTCGCGTGGCTCATGTTTCATCTGCAGACCAGCTTGCTGATCTTCTAACAAAACCTCTGCCTCGTTCCCAATTCCAAAAATTACGAGACAAGATTGGCCTCTCTACACGTGGCCTATCTTGAGGGGGCATATCAGCATATAGATTTGTTCTGTTATTAAAATCTATATTTAAATTCAAACTTTCTTGCATTCAGCAATTGGTTACATATTCCTTAAGACTAGGATCCTTCCTTGTATCTAGCCTTGTATCTAGATGTGAATTAGTTTTTCCTTAACTCTATATGTACAGCTCTTTTGATTAATGAAAACTTGTAGCTTCATTACATTTGTGTCACTTCCTATATGGTATCAGAGCATCTCAATATTCTCCTCCATTAATTAATTTGTTCTGTTATTAAAATCTATATGCTGATACCTCCCACGGCTGACTCTTGTGATTCGCAAACTTCAGGCTTACTCCTCAATTCTTGTAGAAAGGTTGCTAGTAGATCACGAACACTCCCCAAATACTCCGACCTTTCATAGTATGATTGATTTCTCCTTCCTTCAAATTCTAAATTGGTGAAGGCAAAATAGAAACCCTCCTTTTGTTGTTCGAAATTTCTATGAATCTTCATATTGCTTAGGCTCCGATTAGATAGAGAACATCACCCTAAGATAGCTCTTGTGTAATAGTGTGTGCTCTCAAGTATATAAAATTATGATTTTCTGCAAGAAAAATACTCTCAATTAGAAAAATATTAATCTTCAAGTCCTATTAATTTAGGAAAGAAAGAGAGGTTATATAGACTTAGAGTCTTCAAAATATATGAAAAGATGTTTTAAAATCATACAAGGATTTCCCCAAGTGTTTGGGTAAAAACAAGGAATTGAAAGTTACAAAAATCTGAAATTTCGCGCTTTTAGGAAAGCACCACCAGTTGCGATTTAAATTGCCACCAGTGGTGTTATACTGAGAGCCAGTACTTTTTTTCATAGAAAATGCCACCGGTTGTGTTTTTACTGAGAGCTGTTTTAAGATTTGAAAAAAATAACTACCGGTTTTGTTTACAAACAAAATTGATGGTATTTGTTGTGGGCCAAAAATTGACGTTTTCAACTGTACAACGCTCAATGTTCTCTCAACCAATCCAAACCATATAAATGCAATACGTCCTTACTCGCATACCTGTTATAAATGACGTTCTCATTGAACCGAAGTACACGTGCACTTGTTGTTCCACTTTTGACATCGAGATTCAAAAATAAATAGAAAATTACAACTTGATTAGACACGTTTTGAGACCAAAATTTACCGATTACAAAATTCATATTTCACAGTATGATAAAGTTACAATTTTCAGTTTCTTGCTAGTTGAATCCAACTTTCCTTAATTGCTCATTCATACCCTCTGTCACTATGCTACAATTGAACTTTAACAATGTCGCCTTTGGGAGTACTAAATAGACAAATATATATTTGTTCTACACAACGCCAAGAGTCCCCTTGTGAACATTACGCCAAGAAACATGTTACCATAGGTGGGGCAAAAAATGCTAATGCCTTGTGCTCGACACGTACACGCTTCCTTTTCTACTCATCCCGTACCACGAAGACGAGAAAAGATGCAAAGAGTAGACACGAAAAGGCACAATTTGTTATGTTCTTCCTTTATTGAAAAAGCTAGGAATAATATTCTGATATACAATTGCTTTATTTATTTGTCGAAATTTGAATAAAACTTTAAATTCATCATAGTTCTTGCAAAACTAATAAGTCAAAAGAAATGCCAGGCATTTCCCCAACAATTAGAGGTTTAAACATGCCCCTCAAAAGAGCCCTCCACCACCTCAACCAATTAGGTGGTGCATGTAAAGGTTTGTTTGGTGGCAAAGACATTTGACTTGCTATTTAGTGGTGTATGGGAATTGAGGTTGACGTTGGAATTGGAATAATATGACCATAAAGTGAACAAAAATGAGATGGGAGAGGTGACAACCATCGCAATAGAAATGCGAACAAGAGCCTCAACCGAACTTGAGCCTGAAGATCAAAAAATTCCTTGTTCCTCCCTACCCACTTTATACCAAGGTCAAAGGCCACCTTTATTAAAAAAAATTAAAAATAATAATATGAAACGTGAAAAAAAAATAAATAAATAAAGAAGAAGATATGAAACTAATAGACATTAACGTAGATGATATGATCTCTCATCATTTGGCGTGGTTAGGTGTTCGAGCCCTGATAGCAGGCATGGATGTACTGTGGGCTCCCTCACTGAAATTTTTTTGTTATTGCATTTTAAACTCCTGAATTTGTACTTTTTTATTTTTATTTATGCCAATAAATTTTGAAATTGCCCCCACTGAAATTATCAAATAACTTCTCTATATAAATCTGTCCCCCCTCATAAATTTCTAGATCCGTTCCTTCCTGATAGGATAATATTAGGAGTATGATCTCTCCTCTTTTGGAATAGTTGAGGGTTATATTGTGAGTGTGTGTTTGCTTCAACTTTGAAAAAAAATAAATAAATTACAAATATCCAAGAGTCAAACTAAATGATTTTTTTTTTAATCTTTTTTCCCTTAGATACATGTATCCATCTTACAACACACACGCGAGTACCATTCAAGTTAAAGAGGCGATTCGAAAGTAAGACTTCAATGACTTAAATCTCAGATCTCCGCCACGGCGGCTAAGCCCTTAGGAATCGACTAGCCGACTTTAATCGATTGCAAATTGGCCAACTACATTTGGAAATAAACGATTTGAAAATGTCCAAGGGTCAGAGTAACCGACTTTAGTTGCGCGCAAATTGTCAGAATAAGTCAGAGTAACCGACTTTAGTTGCAAATTGTCCAACTAGATTAATATAAAGTCAATACAAGATTGAAACGTAAGCACATACTTTAAGAATTTTTTAATATATTGAAATTCTATCTCATCATAGATGGCTGGATTACATTGAGCCATATAAAACCTAGAATAAATTCCAACGTATATGATTTAATCATGCATGTCCACAGTGATTCTAATTTAGATGAGGATTCGAATATAAACTAGAACCCTCATTGGCTATATATATATATAAAGGTCCAAGAACATTATATTTAACCAACAAGGAGCTCAAGTATAAAGAAAATCAAAGGAAAGAGAGGTCTTACATGAAGACAAAGAGCCATAGTCTGGTAGCCAAGGATGACTTGCCTGTATCCTCTCAAAGCGTTTGATCAACACATTATAGCTTATGTAGTTTGCAGCCCTTCTCTAGCTGTAACTTGAAAAACAGAAGCCCTAGGTTTAGAAAACCTTGTTTGGTTCACAGGCGGTCACCTTGGCTAACCTGACAGGCTCTTGTCTTTCATGCTCGACCTTATCATCTTCCCGGTGTATGAGTAACTGCACCATGCTTTCTACCTTGATGAGCTTCTGAAAGAAACACGCATGGAAGGTACGCGACTCTCATACATTTCTCCCAGATCAATAATGTATGTCTACCTATGATCCTATAAGCAGCAGTTTTTATGTCTCTGCAATGATTAGTACATGCTGCATAACAGATATTGATCATTCATGAAATGCTTACAGTGTTTGGAATCTACTCGTAAAGTAATAAAATAATATAATATTTTTTTTTTCTTAATTGGTACTAGGCTACCTACTTTGCAAAAGCTAGTGACCTAGCTAAAGCATTTTTAATTTAATAAAATTATTTACCTACTAATATCGCTTGATCGTCTCAATCAGCTTTAACAAATTAAATTAATTCTTCATTGTTGAAAAAGATTGGAACAACATACCTTATAAACAATTGAATAATTGTCTGCCACCGATTATTAATTTTGTTAGTTGCTAGATTGAATATCTACATACCTTTGATACTGCATGTATTGACCGTGATACCTTTGATCTTCACTTCTATTTCCAATTAGGAATTCCTCAAGCAATTGAAAGTGTGATTCATATAATTTGGTGTATGTAATTCTCAGATGTTCTACTACTCCCTTTATATAGGAATAGAGTTCCAAATAATTACCTGTCTTTATATAGAGGTAGAGTTTCAGATAATTACGTCTCCTTATCCCACACAAATTCAGCTTTAGATCTACTACTTGCCTGTTGCATGAGTTCATTTCAGAGAATTACATCTCATCTTTAGATTTACTATTTGCACCAAGAGTGGGATTTGACGCTTATCCTTATTCAAGACTTTAATAGAAACTGTTGTGAACTGCTAACTCCTTAACCAACTAGAATATTTTTTATTTAATTATTTCTAACTCCAATATATGAAAATAATTGCACTCAAGGATATGATTAATTATAGTCTAACCCCATCTGTTAGTAAATATCATAAATCGACTCTTCACAATAATTATTTATTTGGGTAAATATTTTCATCAATCCAATATACCAATCGACCCATCCATGATAATTAGTTAGTATTTGAACAAATACTTTTTTTGTAATCAAATCAACCTAGCTTAAATACTTTGGCCATGTGGATTTCATTTTGATAAAATACGTTCAGTAGCGAATAAATACAAAGTATTTAAGTTGTTCAGTCCATTGATCACTCCAAGTATATGGACCTAAATAATTAATACAACCTCAGTCAATATAGTTCGCAGACTCATGATGGTGCAAGAAGTATGTCTTCTACTTATCGTCTGTCTGTTCAGTGTTCTATAGAACACGTCAACTCTTTTGATTATGATCTATGCACGTCAACTCATTTGATTATGGATCACTCCATCAAGATGACTGAGATAAGTTATTCCACTAAGTATTTCTACCGAGTTAGAAACCAATGGTTATACTCATGGAATAATAGATTGTTGAATTCTATTCCTTAGAATACAAATATTTATAATTACGAATACCTATAAATTCATATCTCCTGCACATACCTATATTGGTTGTGTACATGAATTTATCGTATCACAACTAATGGACAACTGAAATCAGAGACTCCTGATCTAACCAATACAAATTTATCAATATTATATGATGATTAATTATTAAAACATAACCTATAAAAAATGTGAATAATGACTTTGTAGGGAATATAACCCTAACACACAGTATGCACATTCTGACTGCATGTAAAAAAATAAAAATGATTAATATGCCTAAATCTGAAGCTAGAAAAAGTGAGAATTAATTCTTCAAGCAAAACTCGACTCAGTTCATGAATGATGAATAGAATAATATAGTTGCTATAAATAATACTCTTTATCGTTTGATAAGTTGAGTTTATCTTCAGCTTTAACTGCTATAAGATGTTACTTGGACTTTCTGCCTTGACTAGTTTTAGGAATTTTATTTTATTTTCTGATGCTGCAAGGAATTTAACTGTGGTTTAAAACTTTGAGTAGCAAAATAGCCTGGAATCATGATCCCAAACAACAAATTTACTCATAGACTGCAATGTGCTATTGTTTTATTCGAAGGATTCAAAAAAATAAAATAAAATAAAATAAAAAATGAAAAAGTTCTTATTAATTTTTATACAATTATTTTTATACTTGAATACAAAAATTTTTGTTAACACTAGTTCCAGTCCCAAATTGTGGAGTTTGACTCACAATTTACTATTCAAATCACAGAATTGTACTTGCAGCTTCAAAGAATAGCTAATCGGTCAAACTTCGGCTTTTGCGACTAAAATTCCACATTTGAAATCAATTTGAGAAATGCTGAGCCAAGTAAACGGGACAAACCCAATAGAGCACGTTTTTTGTTTCGGAAATACTATTAAAACAAAAAATCGGATATTCAACTGATTCATATAGTGTGAAACAAAACACTGATCTTCAGACTTCAATACAGCCAGTGCATGTTGATCACTTGAAAAGCTACAATTATTTAGTCAACTAGTAGTTATCTTGTTGACAAAAATTACCACAAAAGTCACCACCTTTACTTCAAGTTTGTGACCACTTTCGTTCGGGATTAATACACTTTTTCTTCCAAAATGCACCACACATTTTTTTTTTTTTTTTTTATGAGATTTAGGATAAAAGTTTATGATGTTTAGGGTGAATTTAGTTTAAGTAACAATATTGGATTCTAAAATCTAACTACCAAGCCAAAAGTCTGGATATTATTATTGTGAGATATAAAATTTATAATTGGTGAATTTCGTTATCAAAACAAGACCGATTGAATTGTAAATTTGAGTTCTAATTTCAAGTTCGAGATTAGAAGTGGAATTGAAGAGTAATTCGTGGTCGATAGCTTGATAATTTCGAGAAATGTAAAGACAACACTTTAGGAAGGTTAGCAAGAAGGTAATGACACTTGCATGCATTGCGTGTTTTCAAAAATGAGAGTTGCCAAAAAATTTCGAAGTGTTAAAACCTTCAGTTCAGGTCTGGCCTACTTGAACTGGTTCAAGTGTTAATGCTTTGTTTTTAAAAAATACAATGGCCAACTTGAACCGATTCAAGGGCAGCTGAACCTGTTCACGTCCTACATCAGTTTTTGATAACTTTGTTTCCTACTATGTTTTAACTTCCTATTTTGTATAGACTTACTCCTAAAAGGTTGTGCACGAAATTGACTTGTTTTTCATGTAGCATTAAGGTTTCAAAAGTCTATTTATAAAAATATATTTTTCTCACCTAGGGTTGTGTGGCTTTTTGTATTAAACTAAAAGCGTTTTTGTGAGATATTTTATAACATATACATTATATGCACACGAGTAAGTTAGGGTGTTATTCGATTCCTGATCGTGTTCAAGTTTATTGAAGATTGCATCTACAATGATTGGAGAAAGCAGATTTTATTTCTTCTACAACAAATTCAGCTTCGAAGAAGGAGATTTTCCAATCACACTTTGAAGGGATCAAGGCATTCGCGAAGTGTTGTTGATCTATCAGCAATCCTTCTACAAGGTTCGAGACATAAGTTTGAAGTCGAGAGCTATTGGACGGGAAGTCGCAAAGCTATGGGTGTTCAGCGGATTAAGTCTGTAATGACCCGGTCATTTCATTCCTTTTTCTTTTTCATGAGAATTTTACGGATTAATTTTTTTTCGTTAAAATTTCTTTTCTTAGTTCAGTTTCTCTTTATTTAGTGTCGTCTTGAGTGCTCGAAAATGGTTTCTGAGACTCTTTTCTTTGGATTGACAACTTCCTTTAAGGACCAAGTCATTTCCACATTTTTTTTGTTTTTCGACACTATTCACTTTTCGTCATTTTCCCTATTTTGTCTTTTCCCCGTTTGTCACATTCTTCCATTCATTTTTCAATCTTTATTCTTGTTACCATCATTGGGGCCTAGCATATGATTTTCTGCACTTTTATCTCAAAATTAAGCATTTGGTGCCAGTTCGATCGATCACAAGTGTCCATTCGATCGATCGAACCTCTCTGCAATCACTCTGCAGAAATTAGCTCTATGTGTATCGTGCGAACTTTATTCCAGATCGATTCAATTATTTCTCGATTGATCTAGTTATCCCTTCGATCGATCTCAGTTCTATACTAAAATTTTTTTTTAATCTTTGCATATTTCAGATCTCTGTGTATCGTTCGAAGTTGTCTATAGGTTTTCAGATTTTGGATCGATCGAGTTTCGATCGATCATCCTTAGATCGATCACAGCTTTGCCCCTTTGACTTTTTGACTTTTTCTTCTTTCTATTTTTATTTTATTTTATTTTTCATTTTCTTTTAATTTTTTATTTTATTTTATTTACTTACTTTTCTCTTTTGAAAAAAAAAAAAAAAAATCTTTGCATTCTTTATTTCCTTGCATTTTTACTTCTTGCATTTTTATTTACTTACCTTTTTATCTTTGTTTGTGTACATATTTGTTTTCTCTTAAAAAAAATAATTAAAAAAAAAAAAAAACACCAAAGAAAAAAAAGACGATTTTTCAAAGCAGCATTCTGTCTTACTAGAAACGTTGAACTTAACACCCACATAACACATTATGTCGTTTATCTCTTGTATCATACATGTTCATGTTCATTCTTATTTCTTTATTTTTCTTACATTTTGTTTCATTGTACATACTTTCATTAAAAAAAAATTAAAAAAAAAAATTTGCATTCTTTATTTCATTGTATTTTTATTTATTGCATTTTATTGTGTGTGTGTACATACTTGTTATGTTAAAAAAAAAAAAAAAAAAAAAAAGTTTTTATTTTAATTTTCATTTTTTTTTTGTTCTTTTTTGTTTTCATTTCTTGCATTGTACATATTCTTTCATTACATTTTGCCTTCTTTATTTTTCTTTTTGCATTTTGTTCATGCATTTTATTCTTTGTTTTTCTTGCATTTTGTATATAACTAATTTCATAAAATGAAAAATACAAAAATTTGTTTCATCATTATGCCCTTGTGTGCCTTCATGCTTTCATGTTTAGTGTAGGGCTTGCTCTCTTATCTCTACCATCTTATACTATATTGCCTTGGAAATTTGTTTCATCATTATGCCCTTGTGTGCCTTCATGCTTTCATGTTTAGTGTAGGGCTTGCTCTCTTATCTCTACCATCTTATACTATATTGCCTTGGAATGCATAATTTGAGTAATCTTTTCCCATTTGATATTTGATGTGAGTTTTAGAATGTGGTTATTCAAGTAGGTTATTGATTCCAAGTTTGAGGGAGATGTCTTTCGAATTGGATTATTACCGGGCTTCATGCTTTTGACACTACGGTATACTCTTTCTATCTTTTCCATTGTTCTCATTGCACATTAAGGACAATGGGCGGTTTAAGTTTGGGGGTAAGGTGGCTTTGTTACATTCTACTTAAAGTTGAACTTTAAATGCATGATTGAGATTTGAGATCCATGTTAGCTATGATTTTGATCTTTTGAGGACTATATTGCTTAGAATTTTAAAATTGATTGACTTGAGAGTTCAATACTCCTTGTATGCCTTGTGGATGCCATTTAGGAGTAAATTTTTCAAAAGATTGATGTCTTACTTACATTTGTGGTCCACATCATCTTGATTTTGTGATTATTTTGAGATTCACTCTATGATTCTACACTAACACAGGTGCACACTAGCATTCATTTGTGGGGTACATGCTTTATTGATTATTGAATTGGTTATATCCCAATTGAGCTAGTAGTGCATTGAAAGCTTTCATTTTGATAAAGGTGGATAACAAACCCTTTTCATTGAGTAACTGGGATTCTAGCCTCATCAAGCACTGAATTTCTCGCGCCAAAAGATGGAGGGCCCAAACTCTAGGCTAATAACTTGAAAAAAAAAAAAAACAAAAAAAAACAAAACAAAAAGTTGTTGCAAAAGCAAATAAAAAGTGAGGACTTCTCCCAAAAGGTGAAAAGTGGGAAATGATTAGATGGAAGTTGTTTTGATTTGTATCCTAGTTGATTTGAGCTTGCAAGTCCTTAGGGGTATTTTAACATCTAATGTCCTAAAGCCATCTGGTTTAGGAGTCATTGACCTAACACTCAACCTCATAAATCGCTATAAAGCTTAATAGATCAACACATAGCACTATGCTTCCATCTTTGATCCTTAGGGATAATAAATAAATAAATAAAATAAAAACTAAAATCGAGTGAAAATAATAAGCGCACCTAAATCAATAAAGTTTTAATAAAAGGTCCACTTTTTGTCTTGATGATCTGTACTAAATTTGTGTGCTAGTTTGAGGGTAAGGATATGATCATTTCTTTAGTTGGCTTAGATAGCAACATACTTGATGTCGATCCACTCAAAAAGGATTCTAGAGTTGTTTTGATTTGCATGATCATTTTCTTAATGTATGGAGGACCATACTTGTTTGTTTGATATTGAAATTTTGGGAGATTGCTTGGAAATGGTTGAAAAATTATATACTTGAGGTAGTTTTCTCTCAATACTTGTTTGGAATATTGGTGCCTCTTTTATAAGAATGAGCTTAATGTTTGTGAGTATCATTTCTGGAAACCCTCAAGAGACTTCACTCGTCCACTAGGGGAAACCTATAGGTTTAAAAGGTTTGTTGCATACACTAAATGCAATTGTGTTCCCTACGAAAGTGGTGTTATCTATTTATTGCTTTCTAGATTCATAGTTGTATAGTTGTTCATTTCATTCCTTTACTTTGTAGTTCATTGCTAGGGACTAGCAATATTTAAGTTTGGGGGTGTGATGAGCGCTGAAAAGTGCGCTTTTAAACTCCTTAAGCTTAAGTATTCTAGAACCTTTATCTATCTTATTTTTCCGTTTTAGACTAATTTCATGTTATTTGCTTTTTTAGGTCAATAATGTTAAAACGAGCTAAAAATGAATTCTTAAGGCCTCTTTGGAGTCAAACTAAGTCTTGGTGAGAATCTAAAGCAAATGAAGGCTGATCTGAAGTAAAAGGAGAATGATGCTGAAAATCTGCCAAGTCTGATCGATCGAACCCAGATTGATCGAATTCCTGATCAATCACACCAAGATTGATCGAACCCTGATCAATCGAAGAAAAGTTTGATCGATCGAACTGTTCGCGAAAGTTATTAAAAAGCATATCTGAAGCTCATTTCGAACCTTGAAAGATAAGATTCTATGGCCAAGTTCTCACATTTTTGGGCTCTCAAAGCCTTGTATATATGATAGATTGAACCATTTTTATATTGAGATCTATATTTTTACATTGTAATTTCTATATTGTTGTAACTTTCCCTCTCTAGAAAATTAGAGATTAAGGTTAAAAGAAAAGAGGGAAGTGGAGGCACACTCCAAGAACACATCTCTAGATCCACATACTCTCTCTCTCTAAAGTTTCAAAGAAGAAGAAGAAGAAGATGGAGTCATGTTTGGAGCTTACCCTTGAGGGTTTCATGACCACATCCACCTCTTCCATGATTGGCTAGATTTACACTTAAGGCTTGGATGAACCCTAAGTCTTGTGTAATCTAAACCCTTGTATTTCTATTTTTGGGGATTTATATATATATTGTTGTGGTTAGTGCTTAGCCTTGTGATTGTTGATTTAATTCTTCCTATGATTCTCTATTTTAATTACATGTTGTCTTATGTGTGATTATTTGGGAATTGATCTGTACACTAGATTCTCTATGTTGGTTGCATGTCTATGTGTGATTAATTAAGGATTTAGTGATGGCTAAGCATGGGTTTTCATTGAATGGGTTTGTCAATTAATTTGATGGATTATACTTACACTTGATGGGTTGGTCTACAATTTAATTCATGTTTGTAGGTAGGTAGACAATCTTTGCTTGGTTTGATACTCCATACTTATTGTTGCAAATTTCATGATTCTCTAGATTGATGTGTGCTCTCATTAGACCCATTTGTTAATTAATTGATGGATTATGTTTTTGTCTTGGTGGGTTGTTCTACACTTAGTTTACTTGTTGGTCAGGTAGACAATTTACTGTTGCATTAGATAGTTCACACTTTTACATGCAAATTATGTTTATGTTTGTGGCCACATCTTGATTGCAACAATGTATTCCCTATTAATGAAAAGCAAGTGGTTAATTACATGAGCTTAGTGGTGATTCCAACACCCTAAGACCTCTCTTCATATCTCTTAAATCCCTATCTCTCACTAGTTTATTTTAATTGCATTTTAATTTCTTTGCATCTTAGTGTAATCAAACAAACAACCTTCATTTGCAATCTTTTGATACGCTAGAGTCAAAATTGAATTCCAACACGTGTAATCTCTGTGGACGATCCTTACTAGCTATACTTCATTAGTTGTAGTAGTGGTTTTTATAAATGTAAATTTGACTAAAAAGGCTTCCGAAATCACATTCATATTTTGACCTTGCGAAGTGACCTCTCGCATTAAAAAGTTCACTTTCTAAACACATAAGAAGGGGCTCTACAGTGCATTTCTTCTTTATTAATGATTTTGTCTTAATTTCTCCATTGTCCTCTTGAAGTTTCAAAAGCTTAATAGTTTTTTTTTTTTTTCATGTGTTTGATATAGCCACTTCTTTCTTAAAAGTGTGTCCTTTTTCATGTGTTTAATAGCCCTTTTTTGGCCTTAATTTCAACTCCTATATGAAGTATAGATTATTTGCAGTTGTCCAAAAAAGGGTCATATTTCTTATTTAGTTTGAGGCTTGGAGAATGACTCTACCCCTTCTTTATGTTTGTTTCTTATGAAATAAGTCTTATTTACGTTCCCCCAATTTTCTTCTACTTCCTTCATTTTTTTATTTTTGCGGTAATGTTCTGTTCGGCTAATTATTTCTAATAATTTGTCATCTAGAGACATGTGGGAAGCTTGTTAGAAGACTTTACACAAAGGCAGATAAACAGGCTAGCAGTGAGTGGAAACTTTTTTGTTACTGGAGGCTTAAGCTTTCAAGGAGAACTTACTTGTAAGGTGAGTTGATATATATGCAATTGTCTATATCTTTTTATAACACTCACTGTAATATAAAAATTAGACATTCTTCCACTCAATAATCTAGAACCATTATTTCTCTAAATCCAGAAATCCATAAAAAATATCAACATTTGATCTCATACCAACTCCAACCATTTAGTCTCGTATTTAGTCTTATATGATTAGATGGTACCTGGGAAAATGCCAAAAAAAGAAAGAAGTTGTAGAAACTAAACCCTCAGTGAGTATAAACAAATAATAGTAGAAACCAGACCATCAGTAAGTATAAAACAAATAATAGAGAAACAATGAGTAATAACTTCAATTGTAACTATAGAGTAAATAATAGAGAAAGAATGACTAATAACTTCAGTTGTGATTTCAATACCATAAGGAAAGATAAACTGCAATACAGAACATGAATAAGGTATTGATGAGCACTAAAAAGTGCATATTTAAACCCCTTAAGCTTAGGCATTCTAGTACCTTTATTTATCTTACTTTACCGTCTTAGATTGATTTTGTATTATTTCCATTTTTAGGCACTTATCCCAAAAATAAGCTAACTCAGCCAAATAAGAGCAGAAATGAAGCAATTCTGGGATGAATCAAAAAAAGGAGCCAAGTGGGAGCAAAAGGAAGAAAATGGTGGAAATCAACATCTTCGATCAATCTCAGCACTTCAAAATGGATCAGAGCCATGATGACATTTTCAAAGATCTCAAAAGTTCGATTGATCCAACATCATTCTTTGATCGATCGATCAAATTACCTTGTCCTTATCCAAATGATTGATCTTATCTAGTTGTACCACCCTACCAACCACTTTTTTCCTTCTCCCAAAAATATCTTCAAAATATCTCAGATTTGTCTTTATCCAAAAAGCGCCGCCATTAAGGATCGATCCAACTTCAGTTCGATAGATCTCAGCCATGTTCGATCGATCCAAGTCCAAGGTTCAATCGATCGAACTTCCTCCAATGCGAAAAAGTTAAATCTCTAGCTCACAAAAAGTTGTCCTTTATCCAATCATTGGGGAATATTTTGTGCACGACCCCAGCTCATTTTGTGTGTCATTTTGACCTACCTATATAAGGATAATGATTACTTTTTACATAGAACACATCATATCACATCATATTATCTCATATACCTTGGAAGAACTCTTGGAGAGCAAGCTTAGAGGAGGAGAAGGCTAAAAACACCATTGGAGACTCTTCATCAACCAAGGAGCAAATCTCTACCATGGAGTTAGCCCTTGAGGGTTGGAGAAGCACTACCATGAGTGGCTAGACATCCTCTTGAGGCTAGAGTTAGTCCCAAGCATGCTTTCTACATTTTGATTTTGTGTATTATTGAGGGATTAGTGTTGTAATATATGTTTTGGCACTTTTATATATATAGATCTTGTTTATTCAATGATTTATGTAGTTTAATGCTTCCAATTGATCATTTCATTCTATCCATATGTCTATGTATACTAGAATAAATGTTCATGTGTTTGTCTCTATTTCTTATGTTATTGATGCATGTCTATGTGTATTAATGCTATAGATCTAGAGATTGTCAAAACATAGTGCTTAAAGGAATACTCTTGTAATTTTTTAGATAGGTCATGCTCATTTCTTGATGGATTATGCCTCTCTGTTAGCTTAATTAGTTTAATTTCATGTCATTAGCTTAATTGTAGTGTAGTGATAGCATAATTGTTAGATGGGAGGACAATCCATGCTTATTGTTTGATGTTGCATACTTTTGAATGCAAGTAGCATATGTCTCTAACCTTGTGGTGTATTTGGCTTATGAGCTTGATGAAAGGATTAATGACTTGCTCGATATATTGTGTTTTTCACATGCTATTTAGACAATATATATTTAATTGCTAGATATATTGTGCTTTTCACATATTGATTAGACAATGTATGTTTAATTGGTCATCCTTGCTAATTGAATCAACCAAACACACACATGCACCAATATTATAACACATATTTTCCTCATTAGTCACTAGTTAAGGGTGTAGAAAAGCATTGTTTGGTGGTGACCTCTAAACCCCAAGATCTCTCTCTCTCTTACTTACTCTTTATTGCATTCAATTATTTAGTTTAATTTGCTCTCTAGTTTAATCAACCAACCAACTATTTGTTTGATCACTCGACCTACTAACCCTAATAGCGATTCCACAACCAAATTCGACTCCAATCCCTTGGGACGATCCCTACTCACCCTAACTATATTTTTAGTGAAGGTAGTAGTGGCTTCTATAAATGTAAAACTTGGCCCTCACCTTAATGCACAATCTTAAGCTTATGGTGCGACGACATACCATCAGGTATCAGTATTTTATAAGATATCATGTCAATGCAACAGGGTTCACTTTATAAGTATCTACTAATGCACTTTGCTGGTTTACTATGTTAAATAAATAATAATGAAGTAAATAAGAAGCAAAAACATAAACAATAATTTCCGACCTTCGGATAGTCAAACCAAACTCCAGAACCAGTATCGACTCCAGCAAATAACCGAGATGCCTAATATACCAGAATAACTACAAGTTAATTATGTTGAATAAATATCTATTTCGATTGTACGAAAAAAAAAAAAAAAAAAAAAAAAAAGTCACTATGGAATAAATTATCCTTTTGACGGTCAAAAGTAAAATTATTAGTATGAAATAAATTATTTTCTTTGAGAGGACCTCTAGAAAAATAATAATAATAAATAGTAAAAAAAGTAAAAAAAGTAAAAAAGGTAAAAATAAAAAATAAAAAATAAAAAATAAAATTGTATAAATGGTAGTTATGACAATATAAATTAAGGAATTGTGCATTAATGAATTTAAGGACTTTCTTATCATTTCCTTTAGAAGAAAATGATAAATGAAGTGCAATTGGAGAAAAGTAAAGTGCGAATATCGTTTCCCTATATAAATATATAATATTCATAAACATTCATTCAAAGAGTGGACGTGTCCAGTGTACACCGTCTCCAAAGACGCTGAAGCTCGCACCAAAATTTTTTGGGGGGAAAGTTTAGCGCCCTTCCTTCGATGATATGCGTGTCAAAATATTTTTATTTTTTACTTTTTGGAAAAAGAAAAAAAAAATGGCCAGACATTGTCGTTTTTGCCTATTTTTATACTTTTACCCAATTCCCAATCTCAGTCTTTTCTCTAGAACATCCCACAAGATGCCTCTCTCTCTCTACAATCACTCTGTACTCCATCGGAGGCCTCTCTCTACTAGCATTCTTCTAGTCTTCCCTCAAAGTCTGCAAGACGCCTCCCTTTCTCTCTCTAATCACTCTTCCCTCAAGCTCAACAGATCGTCCGGGTTTGTGTCCTTCTTCACTTACTGAGTTATTATTATTATTATTGTTATTATTTTCTTTTTGTTCGCGCATAGAGATTTTTTTTTCTTTCTGTTTCTCTTTTTTTCAGTTTGATCATACGCATCAGATCTGTTCTCTTCTAGGGTAAGCTTTGGCGGATGAAACTTGTGAGAAAATACAATTAAAGTTGCTCTTAAGCTTCTTTCATATTTCATTCTAGTAATCAAAAAATTTCGCTTTCCTTTATTTAAGTTTTTTTTTTTTTTTGGCTTTATTATTATTTCTTGTGCTTCGCTTCATATTATTTTTATATTCTTTAGGATTTTTGTTATTTTGTTTATTTTAGAATAGGTTGAATAAAAGAAAAATGTTATCAGGTCTGATCAACAAGTTTATGTTTGCTATTATTTCAGGATTAATTAATTAATTAGCTTAATATTATTTTTATATTCTTTAGGATTTTTGTTATTTTGTTTATTTTAGAGTAGGTTGAATAAAAGAAAAATGTTATCAGGTCTGGTCAACAAGTTTATGTTTGCTATTATTTCAGGATTAATTAATTAATTAATATTAAGCTAATTAAGTAATTAATTAGCTTAAAAAGTTTATGTTTGTTTCATTTCTAGAAAGAGTACATCTATTCCATTGTAGCTTCAGTTTTAGTTTAGTGTCTACAAAGATGTTATTTTTTTTATTTTTTTTTTTCTCTCTGGGTGTTGATTGGAATACCATCTTTATCAAAATTTGGATTCTACGTAAGGGTAATGAAAATATATATATACATATATATCTCGTTAAAGTAAGGGGAAGATATTTGAAGTCCTCTAACGTTCCAATTATTATTTTTAAAATTAAAAATGGTATCATTGTTTTTTAAAAATATTAGTGTCACATCATTGTTCTAGGACTAAAGATTGGGAAGATAATAGCTTGAGATTTTTTTTCATCCAATTCATTTATTTTTATTTCATCACATTTTTTTTGTTGATTGTGAAAGGTGAATATATATAATTTAAGGGCTTAAATATATTTTGAATTTGAAAAGTTCAAAGAAGAAATTCAGAGCCATTTGGTACTGGTGCCCTTTGAAAAATGAATTAAAAAATTAAGGGTTAAAATAACCGAGTTAACAAAAGTAAATCAGAGTATTATGTAGCTCTTAAATAAATACCAACATATTTTCACTTGTTAATAGAAAAGTAAGATGGTATAAGACAAAGCAATTTTTAATCTAGCCTTCTATGGGTTTCTTGTCATTTTTCTCTATGGAACGAAAAGCTTACAGAAGGAACAACAATTTTCTTGTTAATTTATAGTTGAACAAAATGTCAAACTAGATACATTACATATTACTGTCAAGTTTTCCAAACTCTCCTTTTTTATGTGTGTGTGTGCACACATCATGGCAGCATTTTGATTCTGATAAATTTATTTTGTTACATGGTTTACTTGCTTGATTATTTTAATATATTACTTTATGAATATGAACACCCTCCAATCATAACAAAGAAGAGTACAACTGAATCAGTTGATAAAAATAGCAATGAAGCAACCAAGGTGCTCAAGCAAATCTGGTTTGATCTTAGTGACACCCAGTTGAAGTGAATTATACTAGAATTTAAATATATATTCTCTATATTTTTGTTGCCTTCCTTGTGTTATTAAACATATCACCTATAAAACAATTGAGTGATGTTATGTAGTATTATTTAATGAAATATTTCCTGTTATATATGTGCTTAGTTTGATGAACTTTTGGCACAATAAAAAATAATATGGCAACTGGACTTGTGTATTTATTAAATAAGTTTAAGTTTACTCAACTATCTTTATTGTTAAATTTTACTTATGTAAGCAAAACTCTTAGTACTTCTTTCCCAAAAAAGAATTATTTGTTTGTAGCTTCGTCTACTTGGCAATTGCTTCAACATTATATCTTGGAGCCTTAATTTATATTTTTCTTTGTTGGTCCCTTCGATTCTGTATGATTGAGCTTTGTTTGGAATTCGGAAACTAGAAGTGTAGGAAAGAAAGGAAAGTATTACAAAAAGATACTCCCAGTCTATACTGAATTTTTGAAATCTTGAATGTCATTATTAAGTGTTCATGTCCTTAAGCTATGTTGCATATCCTTCGTAATTTCATTTCGTTTCTTTTTCCAGATCTATTAATTATTCACTACAAAGAAAGAACTGTGATTGGACTTCACTCACATCACAAACCAATTAACTTAGTAAGAGAAGCAAGCATGGTGACTATTTGAAACAAATTTACAGAACATATTTTTAAGCTTTGTATGTGATCTCATCTGTACTTCTGTAATGCTTAAACGTGTATGTTGAATGTGCCTCATGGAGTGGTCGGAAACAATATGAATGTGCCTAACTACAGAGAATTTGAGAACAAATTCATTTTATCCTTTTTTCTTTCAATGGAACTATTTCTTTCTCTACTCTCTTTTCTTTTCTTTTTTTTTTTCTTTTTTTTCTTTTTTTCCTACTGTTGTGTTCAATCTTGAACAATCTACCACATATTTTTCCACACGACATGTGAATTACTGAGCTTTTCTGTGTATTATTTAATTTTGAACAGCCTTAGTTTGTCCCAGACATTTAATTTTCACACATTGTCAAACATTTGTAGGATAATATTGATCTTTTCTTTCGCATGGGAACAACATAGCTTGTTGGGATTTATATGCCCTGGCATAGCAAATTTCTGTTTGGATTAAAGTTACATATGTTCCTGACGTTGATCGGTTGGTCAATCATACATCAACCTTCGCAATAGCACGAATCATTGTAAAATAGGGCTATTGGTCGGGTAAGTCGAACCACTGGGACTGCGCTAGTCTAAGGCAACCTAAATGTCTAGAATCGTTCTTAGAATGATGAAGGGGAAATAAGGAGTTGTTTGTTTGTCACTAAATTGAATATGTGAAGTGCATGAAATAAAAACTTACAATAATTGAAGCGAGATAAGATACGAGTAAGAGAAACTAAAGAAGTGAATCCGTCTCCATCCCTATACACATGCTAGGCTAAATTTAAATTCGGAAAATCAACATAAACGATGGTCATGATACATAACAACCCTTGGTTGCTATAATATCCTCAAGAGGGTCATTGAATCAAAAACAAGAATAATCCATCAAAGAAATACATGCTTAAACTACCTAAACTAGGGTGTAGTCTTCAACATGCTCCCTAAGCCAAAGATTATCAAGCCCTTAATTGAATGATAAAAGCACATAAAGTTAGGAATCAAGAATAGACCATCAAAGGGGGAACCTAAGCAATGGACTATCAAATTTCTCTAACTTCATGCCATTAAGACTATTCCATGATCTCACTACCATTGTCACCATGAGAGTGCAAGCACTATGATTAAAAGAATAAACCATCTAAGATAGATAATTAATTCAACAATAATCATTAAAATACATGAAGATCCATTACAAGAAGCAAAATGCTCTAGACCATGAAAAGACCATAGGTTATACATTGAAATCCCAAAATAAAATCTACACTAGAACATGCTTACAAGGGAGGGACTTCATCACCTCCCTAGAAGAAGAGTTAGTTACCCATTGGAGCCTTAGAATGAAGAAGAAGCTTGAAGACCTCCTCCATTTTCGTGCTCCCTTCTTCAAGCTTGGAGAGCTCTCTTTCTTGCTCCCTTCTCTCTCCTCTAATCTTGTAGAATATGGGATAATGATATGTGTGGCCTTCCTTGCCTTATCTACCACCAAAAGGTCACCAACCAACATCTCCAACCACTTCATTAAAGAGGAAAGCAAAGTGAAGAAACCAAGGTGCAAGTGGGCTGAAATGAGCCATTTCCGAAGGGCATTCTGCCCAAAATTCGAGCACTCTAAGCAAGGCCTCGAGCACTCGAATTTAGTGTAAAAATGCCCATGCTTCACTTGCTCCGCCCAGACCTACTTCGGTTAAACAGCCATAACTTTGCGGTCCGAACTCCGAATGATGAACCGTTTGAAGATTTAGAAAGCTAATTCAGAGCTCTAAATATTTCATGTTTTTGTGGAGATCCAATTCTCAAGGATGGTTGGTCGAAAATGAAGATCAAGGCAGAATTTCATTGCTGCCAGGCAGTTCTGCGCACCTCTGGTAACAAGGCCATAACTCTCTGCTCCGAGCTCCGAATGACAAACCGTTTGAAGATTTGGAAATCTGATTCAGAGCTCTAAATCTTTCATGTTATGAGGGAAGTCCAGTTCTTGAGTTAGCAAGGTCAAAATGGCGAGCAAAGTTCAGGATCCACTGCTGCCAGAAATTCAGCCTTGTGCCTTTTGATGGCCAAAACTCCACAAAGCCTTGATTTTGCTCCTTTTTTGGAAAATGGACCTGAAAATATATACATACACACAAATGAAGATAATCTACTTAATTAAACAAACAACGGACTTAACTAATGCAATTTAGGGCGCTTAAATATACAGTATTCAGCGCTTATCACACCCCCAAACTTACATTTTGCTAGTCCCTTAGCAAAACTACAATGAAAAACTTAATAAAAAGACAACCATGGGCATGCTACTACAAAAATATCATCCATGGTAAAATGAGATAGATACATAGCTCAAATACAACTTGAAACAGACAAAAACTAGAGATGGGGTCATTGGGAAAACTACCTTGCATATATGAAGCATTGATACAAAAATTGGCTAAATACATTTCCACATACATGCATCAACATCAAAGTCTATATAAATAACTCAATTATCATCTCTTGAATGGAAATCAACTCTAGCTTCAGTGAAAGTGAATTGGATTCTCAACATGCGGCTTTTATTTTCTTTTCCAATTCCAAAGCACAAGTTTTCAAATCACTGAATTCCCTTTTAAATGAAGTCCCTAAGGCATGAATTTATTTACAAGACAACTTTTGTTGCTTGTTGACAATTTATTGTAACTCATAAGCGAAACATAGAATGGTTATGCAATGCTGAAGTCCCTTAAGCTTTCTAACCAACCTATGTAGCAAGCGTTAGGCCAACAACTCCCAAACCAGATGGCTTTAGGGTGTTAAGTGTAGAGACACTCCATAGGGCTTAATATCTCAAGTTGGAAAGGCTACGAACTCCAACGAACCATGTTTATTACCAGTTTATTTTTTTGAATGACCGTGCAATGTTTAAGTCCCTTAAGCTTTCTAACCAACCCCTGTAGCAAGCGTTAGGCCAACAACTCCCAAACCAGACGGTTTTAGGGTGCTAAGTGTAGAGACACTCCTAGGGCTTAATAACTCGAGTTGGAAAGGCTACGAACATCAACTGATCATTATTTTCTTTCTTTCTAAGGTTTTTTTTTTTTTTTTTTTTTTTTTTTTTTTTTTAGATTCATGCCAAAAGTATTCATCCATTAGGTTCATCAAATCAGATTAACTAGGGCAAGGTCAAGGTCAATCAAGTTGCATGCCTCACAGTTAAGTTTCCAATGTGCATCTGTGCATTGTGAAGCTTAAAAGAGTGTCAAATCCAGCGAGAATTTAATTGAGACATTTATACAGACTAATTTGAATCTACATGATCATTTTAACTCAAATTTTCTTTATTTTCAAAAATATCAGCTGCTTCTATACACAAAGTTTTAAACATATGCTTTCATCTCCAACAGGTTTCAAATTCCATTATCATTGCTTAGCAAAAATGTAAAACCAAAAATACATAAATGCACCCCCAAACTTGAATGTCACATTGTCCTCAATGTGAGAAGACAAGTAAATCAAAATAAGCGCAAAGAGGGTAAAAGAACAATAATACCAAGTGGAGTGACGACGACGTAGATGTTCAGCCATGTGAGTGCGCAACGGCGTCCCCCAAACTTGGACATGAAGACCTATCAAGACAGAACTAATGTACACAGGTGAAAGCATAGGTATCTTAAGAAAAAAATCAAAACAGAAATGAAAACACTAAGACGAATGTGATTGCAAGGTAAAAATCCATACAAAATACAAATTGGCACACATGAGTCATAAGTGTAAAATGGAAAACAAAACAATGCCAAAAGCCGTGCATTTAGAGAGATAAAGTTGGCTTAGGCAATTCGTCAAACACGTGGTGTGCAAGACAAAAAGGAAGAGGGCCAAAGGTTGATTAGAGATGAGAAAATCCAAAAATTTGGCCCTGCAAATGCAATACACAACTCCCAAACAATCACAAATCCTTCCCACAAGCAATCCCATCCTCCATTGATCAAAAATTAAAAGAAAAAGAGGGTTAGACACTTACCCAACAATGGAGAACCAAAGGCCCTGTGTGCGTGGGATAAATGGTGGGGATGGGTGGGAGGTTGATGATGGTGCTTGGGTTAGAGGAGAGTGAGGAAAAAGGTGGAGGAGGTGAAGGTGGGTTTGCATGGGGTGGTGAGGTTGAGGGTGGTTGGGTTGTGAAGTTGGAGTTGGTTGTGAGGTGCATGCAAGTTGCATGAAAGTGCCGAGAGAGAGAGATGGTTTTGGGCAGGCATGAGGTTGAGGGAATGGTGTTGGTTGAGTTATGGGTTGCATGCATGGTGGGATGAGATGAGGGTGGTGAAGTGAGGTTGATGGTGGTTGAATGGTGTGAGGCCGAGAGGGATGGCGGTTGGTTTGGGAGGTGAGATGCGGGTTGAGAATGATGAAGTGAGGTTGATGCGTTTGAGATGAAGGTTGTGCATGCATGGTTGTGCATGCATGGGTGTGGGTTAATGTGGGTTGGTTGAGGAGTTGCCGAGAGGGAGGAGGGTGGTGTGTGGGGTTGAGGTTGAGTTGGTGGTTTGCAGGTGAGGGAGATGGGGAAGATGGTTGATGCCGAGAGGTAGTAAGGGTGATGGTTTGGTGAGGTGAGTTGTGAGAGATGAGGGCTCGGGTGAGGGAGGAAGAGAAGTTGGTTCACACTTCGAGCACTCGAAATGGGACCTCGAGTGCTCGAAGTCTTGGCAGTGAGTTCGGGTGTGAGCTTCAAACAAGCTCGAGCACTCAAGAGGGAAGTGAGAGGGCTCGGGTGAGGGCTTCAAGCAAGCTCGGCAGAGGAGTGAGAGAGCTCGGGTGAGGTTGAGAGGGGTTGTGGGTTGGTTGGAGGTTGGTGGAGAGGATGGGGTGAAGAGGTTGGTTGATGATGGGAAGGTTGCTTGGTTTGTTGCATGGTGGGCATGTTGGCTAGGCTCGAGCACTCCAAATGGGAGCTAGAGTGCTCGAGCTTGGGGCAGAGAGATTGGCAAGATGTGGAGGGATGTCGAGCACTCGAAATGCCAATTCGAGTGCTCGAAATTGGATCAGTAAGCTCGGGAAAATGAAGAGGCTTACATTTCGAGCACTCGAAAATGGACTTAGAGCGCTCGAAATACAAGCAGTAGCCTCGGAATGGTTTTGTGCAAGCTTCATAGAGCTTTCGAGCACTCCAAAGAGGAAATAGAGTGCTCGAAATGAAGGCAGTAGCGTTGAGGT